ACCTAGGCTAAGCTAGCATGCAATCTCCTGACCGGAAACAAATATTTAAATCACAATACAACAATAATCAAACCATTCTCTGACCCTGCATGTTAGACAGATCAACATATAATAGTCACGGCACATACGTGGTACACATTATCACACGTACGCCAATCACATGCTCATGCACCGAGTCTCACACACTCGCATGCCAGTCCATGCATGTTCATGCATGCAAATGTCGTCGACAGGTCACGTGCATTTTCCGGCCCACTGGCCCACACTGGCAATCGCCCAATTTATTATTTATTACGACGACTCGAGTCAACAACATTCACGGCCCGGTGCGTCTAGCCTACTTCAAAGTGCATGAGGCGCAGCAACCGATCTGGCCCAGTGTCTCTAGCCTGCTTCAAAGTGCATGAGGCGCAACACTGATCTCCTTACGAACCAGAGTCTGCTTCAAAGTGCATGAGGACGGTATCGACCCGAAGGTCATGACCCAAAGGTCCTTAGGTGATCACACAATCAATTATTATCTGAACCCAGCGTAAAACGCTTCGGGGTATTTTAGGTGATCACATGCTCATGGCAGGCACGCATTCTCGCACAATTTCATCACATGCCTCACTCTTGGCATACACAATGCGTGTCCATGTTATGCAATGCAATGCACCACGAGCGCCAATATAATTCAAACACTCAATATCACAACACGTGCTCAATTGACCCAATTAATACCGTGTGGCCTAACGTGCGAATCACAAATCAACAATTAATTTCAAACCAATCATTGGCCAATCGCACTCCACATAATTCAACCACACGACATGTGACATGGCAGTACGAAGTCAATCACAATTAAGCACAAATTACGTACAACCAGTCAACCCGGACATACCCGGTAATTTTTCAATGGGCTCCTAAATTGGTCATTTAATCCAATTAATCTCCCCAAATAATTCTCATTAATCCACTAAATTTTCCCAATAATAATTCCTACCAATCAGTCCTCATCCCAGTCTGAAATATACACTGATACTACCTAAGCCAGTCCAAAATGCACCGATAATACCTAAACCAGTCCAGAAAAACGCACTATCAGTCCTAATCCGGGTTTAGGAATTTTACTCACTTAATCTAAGGTCACGACGACGAGGAACGGCGGCCAATCACTGGTGAACAGTGGAACCGGCGGCGGCGTTCCGGGCGACGGTGTATGGACGTCGTGAACAGTGACCGTACGGATGTCGGTGAACAGTGACCGTACGGACGCTACAGTACGACTGTACGGATACAGTACGATCGTATGGGGGGATACTGTACGGACAGGTACGGTCGGCGTCGTACAGCGTGGCTGGACGGCTGGGTGGCGACGGAACGGCGATCCGAGCTCCGGCGCGGCGGCGGCAAGGCTCCGACGCGGCGACGGTGATGCTCCGGGAGAGAAAAGGGAGAGAAAGAGAGAGAGAGGGAGAGAGAGAAAGGGGTCGGACAGGGGGCAAAGGGCAAGGCTGGGGACTGAGGTGGTCGACGGCGAGGCACGGCTGCCGGCGGCGGCGCTCCGGTGGCCGGCGGTGAGCTCCGGCCAAGCCAAACCAAGATAGAAAAAGAGAGAAAATGGGGGAGAAGCTGCTAGTCTGGGATGGTTCTGCCGAATGGGGGGATAGAGGAGAGAGAAATGGGTCTGGTCTGGTCAAATACAGCAGCCTAGGGGCGCCACGTGTCGCCGATCCGCGCGATTTGACCAAAACGCCCCTAATCTAACGGTTCTAACCCATCCCTATCCAAAAAGTGAAGGGTAAAATGGTCTTTAGGTCCAATAATGCAGCTGATAATCCATTTTTAATTACCCCAAAAATTTTCCCAAAATTCGGAACTGAGAACGGCCCAGGGGCAAAATGGTCATTTTTCCGATCCCGGGGCGAAATTTCAATTTTTGCCCGTACCAACCCTCCATGTGCGTGGCCAACATAATATGGTGTCAGAATCGCGAAAACAGCCCTTTAAGCCCTCGAAAATCGACTGCAAAGTTTTTGGGAATAAAATAATATTATTTTTTCAATTTCTGTCGAAATTCCAATTTTTGGCCATAACGACTCCTGGTATGCGTGGCGACCCTAAAATGGCATCGGCCTCGAAAAATAACCTCATTTGGTCTCTAAAAGCAACGCTAACGTCCCCGATGGGCAAAATCGTAATTTTTCAACCCCGGACCGAAATTTCAATTTTTACTCGTACTAACTCCAAACGTGTGTGGCCAGCGTAATATGACGTCAGATTCCCAAAAATAGTCTCTTAAGCCTTCGAAAATCGGCATCGAAATCCGGGCCCAATTCCGTGAACAAAATTCGCTAAACTTTCAATTTCAGGGTCTCTCACTAACGGGTGGCTGTTTAGGACATACGCGTATCGACCTAGGGTTATTCGAATTACGACGATCCCGATCATTGAGAGAATGAGAAATCATCACTAGTTCCAGAGGTCGCGATCGTTCGGTTCAGGTTCAGGACTGGTTGGTCACGTGCACTTTCGGTCTTGCAGAATCACCTGTGATCCGATTGTACATCGTTGGCCTTGGCCAAACCAAATCCATCACCTTTCCTAAGATCGGCCCACGTTGGCCCAAAATATTCCCTCATCATATCTCGAGATCGGTGTCCCGTTCACTATCGAGTCCCTGGTCCACGTACCGTTTCCTAGTTAGTCATACCCCCTTGGTTAGTATCCCGAGAGTGATCAGCTCTGGGCGAGACTTACCAAAATGAAATGCGAAATATTGTCAATTTTATTGATCCCGGAATTACATCGAAATTCGGGCTGTTACACTCAATGTCTGCCTTCCTCCGCCTCCCAGCGCTGGCCGCCTCCCACCGTCGGCCGCCACTAGCCGTCCTCCGTCGCTGTCTGCCTTCTGCCGCAGCCCGACTCCGGCTGCCTCCCATCGTCGGCCTCCATTGGCCGTCCTCCATCTCTGGCTGCCTTCTGCCGCAGCCCGACTCCGGTTGCCTCCCACCGTCGGCCGCCTTTGGCCGTCCTCCATTGTCGGCTGCCTTCGGTCGCGGCCCAACGTCGGCCGCCTCCCATCGCCGCCCATCTCCCATCGCCACCCAACATCGCCCGCCTCCCGTCGTCGCCCACCCATCGCCCGCCTCCCGTCGCCGTCCTCCTCCGTCGCCCAATGCCAGCCACCTCCAGCTGCTGCCCATCTCTCGTTGCCGGCCGCCTCTTACAATCGCCTGCTTCGTCGCCTCCCGTTGCCGGCCGCCTCCTGCAATCGCTTGCTCCGTCGCCTCCAAATCGCCGGTCGCTCGGGAGGGAGAAATTTTGTGTCGTTATCAAACGAAGTTCTATTTTAGAAATAGAAATTTTGTGCCGTTATCAAATGCTTATTTTAGCTCAAAAACTCGTATATGCAATAGAAATAGAAAAATTTATTTCTGGCTAGAAATTAATTTCTGAAATAAAATGATTATCATTCGCGCCCTAAGAAGTTATGAAATTAAAGGGACAATGGACGTCTGTTAGACATTTTGTGAAGAGACGGGCTCCCAGAGGTCCTTGATAAAATACGTGTTCAGTTTTGCGGGTATTGCTCTCAGCTAGAAGGCATAATTATAGTTGATAATTGTTTTGCCGACAACTGAAAAAGAGTTCGTAGCGTCAATCGAGCAATCAAGGAAGTAATATGACTTAGAGGTTTGCTTGGTGACGTGGGACTACAGTAGGAGATTATTATTGTTTACTACGACAATCAGATTGCAATAAATTTAATAAAAAATTGAATGTATCGTGATTGAACAGAAACACACTGATATTAGGTACTATTTTTGTACGTGATATTGTCCAATTGGGAACCGCATCTGTTGAGAATGTGCACACGACAGACAGACATACTAATGACCAAGTTCTAGCATGAGTCGGACTTGGTTAGTGTTTGTAGCAGGTCAAGAGCCCAGAGGGGGTCGGGGACGACGACAATCATGAGGATGAAGTTGGACTTCTTGCCGAGGTGGAGATTTATTGAGGATGGCTTGAAGTCATCAACCGGGCTTACGGAGTCCTAGTCTTGCGGGTTGATTCACATTAGCAACTAAGTTCATAGGTGCTTAAACACTCCCTTGTCACTCTAGGCGCGGGAAGCTACTTTGCCTGCCTTACTCGGCAATAATTAGTCGAAACTGACGTAGTATCTATCTCCACCACCCAAGGTCTCCCTAAGTTCTCTCCAAATATTTTTCTTCCCCCGAAAGAGGGAATATAGAGAGAACTTATTAGGGAGGTCCCTCCGTCATATTGGGGAGTTCATTCTCCTGTCTCTCCTTAAACCTTTTAAGATCATGCTCAGGACCTGAATCGCAAGGTAACCTGTGCCCCAAAGTAGATTTTTGCTATAGGATTGTGTGTAATGCAAGAGAGATTCCCAAAACACTCCCTTTTCGTCATTGAAGATAAAGTCCCATGTCAGCTAATGTCTCATAATTTGTTGCGTATAAATATTCTTTTGTCAAGTTTCGTGTGGTGTGTTAATAATACCCTCAATATCTTCTAAATATCTCTAGAAGATGTTTAAGTATCTCTAGGCGTAATCGTGTGCATCGCGAGTCTGCTTAACACGTGCGAAACTCGCGAGATACAAAGAGTATTGAGAGCCTTGTACAAGAGAGTTGATAGTGTGGGAAAACTTCTTTTCTTGTGATTAATTCTTGCGATTTTGGATTCATTTTAGGATCGGAAAACACTTATGAGTGACCGTGATTGAGTGGTTGTAATCTTATCTTCGCCAATTATAATGGAATCATCCCGTCTATCTCTCCCGTAGGAATAGACACATCGCTGAACCACATACATTCGTTATTTTCAGAATTTATTTCTACAACTTATTTCTTGTTCAAATCGTTTATTTGTTCACGTTTCCGCGGCATTCATAACAATTTGGTACCTCAAACCAGTTTTATGAGAGGCGATGATCCTTTACATCGACATCTTAGAGAGGCATAGCATAATATTTTAGACTCATTCGCGAGAAACTCCAAGCACCTGTTTGCCAACATTGCTGCCGGAAAACAACCCAACCAGATGGTCTGGTCCCTTGTTATAAGAGACGCATCTATACACAAACGACCTCGCAGGACAGAACGGCAACGCACAGATAAACAGAAAACAACCCCTTTTGAAAACACGAGAAAAAAAAAGATTATGCCGATGAAGAAGTACAGAAAGCTGACTCATTCGCAGGAAACCATGACCACCTGTTTCCCGACATTGCGGCCGGAGAACACCCCGACAAGAGCTGCCGGACCGTTCTCGAGCCCTTCGGCGATGTCTTCCACGTACACAATCTTCCCCTCTTTGATCTGAGGCAATACCGTCTCCAGAAACTTTGGGTAGAGATGATAGTAATCGAACACCAAGAAACCTTCCATCCGAACCCGCTTCAGGAGGAGGTTCAGCAAGTTGTGTACGCCTTCGGGCTGTTCGAGGTTGTACTGTGAGATCATTCCACATACTGTGATTCGGCCATGAAGTTTCATGTTGAGCAGCACCGCATCAAGCATCTTTCCGCCGACATTTTCGAAGTAGATATCGATCCCCTCGGGGAAGCATCTAAACATTTAAGACAGAAAAAAGTCAACTCGAGTCGGCTTCAGAATGTGTACATATTTTATATCCTGTACATCAGTCACTTATTTGCTCAATCATCGTTACCATATTCCTGACTCACCTTTTCAGTGCTGCATCCAGATCCAGTTCCTCCTTGTAGTTGAAAGCATCATCGAATCCAAACTTGTTCTTCAGCAAATCAACCTTTTTCGCGAACATAACAGCAAGAGAGAACTTTAAGTAAGATAAAATCCGGAAGAGACTATTAAGACTGTATTTTTAGCATTTGTGTTTAGTGAAATGATGAGGGTATGCATTCAACACTGCCATCACTCTCTTGAGGATTCTCAAATTTGAGACATACAGCACTCATCAAACCCCAAGTGCTTTTTTTAGATTTAATTCTATATGAGTAGACGACTGTTTATGCCTTTAAGAGAACATGAACATGCACTCTATTTCAAACGCTTGTCTAGTCACTCATTATGAAACAATAGTGAAAATTGCAGATGCCAAACATGTTGGGTGAACCATTAACATCTACGTGACTATGTACTTCTTTCAACACGAGAGAAAGAGAGAGAGAGAAGAAAGCGGGGGGGGCAAGGGGATCGTCGTCAACGCACTAGTGCTTAAACAATTACTCTTCAAGGAAACACTAGACGAATGTGAGATGATTACCTTCTCTTTGGGGGGGGAGGGGATCGTCGTCAACGCACTAGTGCTTAAACAATCACTCTTCAAGGAAGGAAACACTAGACAAATGTGAGATGATTACCTTCTCTTTGCTACCGGCGCTGCCAACAACATAACATCCCAACAACTTTGCAAACTGGCCAACAAGCTGACCAACAGCCCCCGCCGCCGACGATATGAAAACAGTCTCTCCTTTCTTAGGAGAGCATACCTCGTAAAACCCAGCATAAGCCGTCATGCCTGGCATACCTGGAAAGTTTACATTTGTAGAAATTAGACGAGTCACGAAATTAGCCGTCATGGCTGTCCGTACTAACTTGAGAATGAAATAGACCGAAGAAAGTATCTTAACAATCTGATTCCCCTTATTCTTTAACACTGAAAGAGATATTAAACCAGATGATTAAAGAGCATACCCAAAAGGCCGGTGTAGTGAGACAGAGGAACATCGGCGTGTTCGATCTTAAAGCAAGTCTCTGGCGCAGTAATTAGACTGTACTCCTCCCATCCAGTCAAGCCCCAAACCAAGTCGCCTTTCTTGAAGTTTGGATGCCCAGATTCCAAAACTCTAGCTACTCCAAATCCAGGAACAGGCTGCACCATTGTGTTATATACTTCAGAATATAAGTGCCAATACATTTAGCAAACGCGAATAGACATTGAACTTACTAGTAGGAGAGAGTTTGCTCCCTTTGAATGTTACTTGTCGAGTGTACTTTGTCGCAAATTTGAGTTCGATTTATTCGTGCGAGTTCATAACCTACTCTCGCCATAATGAATCGAGTAAATGTAATGAGAGAGATGGTGGTACTTACGGAACCGAGCTGAGTGAAGTACTTGATGAGGTTGAGATTGTAGGGATCGCAAGCCAGGTACAAGTTCTTCACCGCGATGGCCCCCGAACCGGTGTCGGCCTTCAATCTCTCCGAGCTCGTCCTAACTTCCAAGTTGGCCTCTTTCAGGGAACCTCGTACCTGCTCTCTGTATATCACCTGTTTGTTGCTCATCACTTCCACTGAAGCATTCTTGTTCACCTTCTCCATTCTCTCTCTAGAGCTGTGTTCTCTCTCTCTCTCCCCTTCTTTTCTTGGATTTTTTTGCTCTTGGATTTGATTGGTGGGAAACGTAGCCAAACACTGCACGGGGTATATATAGCTATGTATAGGGGGTGATGAGATATGCAGACGTTGCTGACGTGTGCCCATGTGTCATCTGTATGCGTGCTTACGTGTGCCGTTGTGTCATCGGTGGAATACTATTCGAATAATTCCTTGGGAAACATAAAAGGTTATCAAAGTGGCCAATTGAATTCTGATCATTAGAAAATTCTCTGATTTGCAGTAGAACTTTCATGAATTTTTTTATGTGGAAGCAAAGAATTTGAAGAAAATCCTAAAATCATGCCTTTCTTAAGAAGTAAGCTCTGCACTCGTCAGTTGCCCTTTTCCACGCATCCTTGAGCACCCTGACTTTTTTTTTTCTTTCCAGAAAAGAGCTTCATTCATCCTTCATAATCAAACGTTGATTAGAGAGGGGTATTTTGGATTTGAGCACCTTGACTTGATTCGAGCGTAATATTGTGCGTACACAGTGGGGTGGTGAAAATTATAACCCTTGATTGAAAGAACAAATGATGGGATGGATGAACTTAAATGGGCCGGCGTAAAAGTTTTGATCTAGACTCATCCGTTATTAGAAGGATTGATGACATAAATGGTCATTGCACGTTGACCTAACGTACAATATGGTCCATGAATTTTAAGTATGTTTAATGCGATTTTTGAACTTTAATCCAATATGTAATATCGTCTATGAACTTTTAATTTGTTCAATGTGGTCCCTGAACTTTTGGTACATGATCAATTTAGTCCTTGTACTATATAAAAATATTCCTCGTTTTAATTGAAAGCATCATCGAAACCAAATTTGTTCTTCCGCAAATCAACTATCTTCGCAAAAATAACAGCAAGAGATGAACTTTAAATAAGATAGCTCGGAAGAAATCGGTTAAAATCAGGATTTTAAAGGCAGGTACGGGCATCGTGGGTCATACAAAAAGGAAAATAAGAATTCTTTCCCACATTGAAGATCGAGTCTATGTTGATGTAATTTCCCGTGAGACCTCTTTCCCTCGTTGAAGATGAAGTGTAAGTTGGTGTAGGAGAAGTGCTTATAGTTATTCCATTGTTGAATTTCGTTTGGTGTGCATGGTAAGTGCGCTTAATATGTATGAAACTTGCGAGAGAGCCAAAAAAACATTGAGAACCATCATCTAAGAGAATTTGAGAGTGAGAAAATTCGTTTCTTCATATTGATTCTTGTGCATTCGAGATTAACTTAGAATTAAAAAGGGATAATGATATAAATGATCCATGATTTTTTGCCCAGTATGCAATATAGTCTATGAATTTTTAATTTGTTCAATGTGGTCCCTAAATTTTACTCTAATGTGCAATGTGATTCATGAACTTTTAATTTATTCAGTATGGTTTATGAACTTTTGATATGTATTCAATTTAGTCTATAAACTATATAAAAATATTTATTTCAAAGTTAGGAATAACATTAAATATTTTCATATAATTGAACATGTATCAAAATTTCAGGAATCACATTGAACAATCTAAAAGATTAGAGATGACATTGCACATTGAGCTAAAGTTTAGAGACCACATTGAACAAATTAAAAGTTCAGAGATCATTTGTATCATTTTTCCAATTAAAAAACACTTGTGAATGAGTATGACTAACCGCTTTGGAGTTTAGTATGGAAATGGGATGGGCCACAAATAATCAAAAGCTTCTTGTGGTTGATCTCTCATCAGTGCATGCTCACTAATGATGAAAGATTTTGATGTAGATTCACAGCGGACTCTTGCTGCACTATGTGCCCACACTATTCGAAGACAATTATGCATGTTCTCAGAGATTGTAAATATGCAAAGGCAGTTTGGCAGGAGATTCTACCTGCTAGTTTCTGGGCAAGTTCTTCACCCAAGATCTACTCCCATGGTTGATGTTGAACCTATATGGTTCATCAACTAGGGTTCAGGATAACTGGTCACCTATTTTTACAGTTGCTTGTTGGCATTTCTGGAACTAGAGGAATAAACGATTATTTGAGAAGGATTTTTGTCTCACCAACGAACCCTTGTGCATGATTCTAGGCCATATGAAAGATATCGCTTCAACGCTACTGGCAGAACATAGATTGTCACCTCAAAGGGAGAAAAGAGATAAGCTTGTGGGTTGGACTACCCCTCCGACTGGTTGGGTAAAGCTCAATTTCGACAGGGCGTCTAAAGGCAACCCAGGATTCGCCTCAGTAGGTGGGTTTTGATTAACGAATTAGGTAATTGGCTTGCTGGATTTGCTCAAACTGTGGGATTGTGCTCTTTGCTCAAAGCAAAACTATAGGGTATCCTTTTGGGTCTTAAAATGGCAATTTCTTTGGGCATACCTAAACTTATTGTGGAGGTGGACTCGAAAGTCGCCATTTCACTGCTTCAGAGATCATCTCCTGCTCTCAACTTTGGCGACACGCTCATTTCTTAGATTCAGAAACTTTTAAGGTGTTTCCAGCATGTTAAAATGCTACATAATTTTAGGGAAAGTAACTCATGTGCTGACTGGTTAGCAAATTGAGTCATTGATTCTTGTGATGCGAATGACATCTTAGTGCTGGACACCACTGAGAAGTTTGATTCCTCTATTGATAGGAGATGAGGTTGGTTTGAGTTTCGTTAGACGAGTGCTGTTGTAAAGCCCATTTCAATACCAAAAAAAAAAAAGAAAAAGCTAGTGTAATCTCATTTTTGCTGATTATAATAGCATATCTCGTCAATTTATTCTCTTGGCTTAGGCATGCTACCGAGCCACGTAAATTAAGTATGTTCGACTTTTTATTTTATATTTATTTTTTTTTTTTGCACTCTTTTTGTTTATTTATGTTCCCACGTTAGCCTGTCAGTTTGGTATTTCAAACCAGTTTTATTTATATCCGATGACAGGGTACATAAAGACGCATTTACATCGAAATCTCAGAGACACATTTACACTCAAATGTCCTTTGCACCATCACCAAACCAAAGAAACCGCTCTATGTTCCCGCATGACAGAACGGCAGGGCAAAGACAAAAGGAAAACAACTCCTTTCCAAAGCACGAGGCAAAAAGAGACTATGCCGATGAAGAAGAACAGAAAGCTAACTCATTCGCGAGAAACCACGACCACTTGTTTCCCGACATTGCGACTGGAGAACAGCCCGACAAGAGCAGCCGGACCATTCTCGAGCCCTTCGGCGATGTCTTCCACGTACACAATCTTCCCCTCTTTGATCTGAGGCAACACCGTCTCCAGGAACTTCGGATAGAGATGATAATAATCGGACACTATGAAACCTTCCATTCGAGCCCGCTTCAGGATAAGGCTCATCAAATTGTGTACACCTTCAGGCTGCTCGAGGTTGTACTGTGAGATCATTCCACAAATTGCAATTCGGCCATTAAGTTTCATGTTGAGCAGCACTGCATCAAGCATCTTTCCGCCGACATTTTCAAAGTAGATATCGATACCTTTAGGGAAGCATCTAAACATTTATGGCAGAAAAAGTTAACTCGTGTTGTCTCCAGGAGCAGGTACATTTTTTGTATCGTGTATAGCAGTCATTTATTTGCTCAATCATCCTTAAGATACACATGGCTCACCTTTTCAGTGCTGCATCCAGATCCGGTTCCTCCTTGTAGTTGAAAGCATTATCAAAACCAAACTTGTTCTTCAGCAAATCAACCTTTTTTGCAAAAATAACAGCACGAGAAGACTTTAATTAAGATTAACCTTGGAAGAGACTGATAAGACTGTATTTTTAACATTTATGTTGAGCGAAATGATGAGGGTACACATTCAAAACTGCATCACTCTCTTGAGCATTCTCAAATTTGAGAAATGCAGCACTCATCATACCTCAAGTGCATCTTTTAGATCTAATTCTATGTACTAGACGCCTATTTAAGCCATTAAGTTTTGTAAGAACATGGACATGCACTCTATTTCAAACACTTGTCTAGTAACTCTAGTATGAAACAAAAGTGAAACCAAATATATTGGTGAACCATTGACATTTGCCCAATTACCTGCTTCTTTCTACATGAAAGAGACGGAGGGGCCAGCGTACTTGTGCTTAAACAATTACTATTCAAGGAAAGACTCGACAAATGTGAGATAATCACCTTCTCTTTGCTACCAGCGCTGCCAACAACATAACAACCCAACAACTTTGCAAACTGGCCAACAAGCTGACCAACGGCTCCCGATGCTGCCGATATGAAAACAGTCTCTCCTTTCTTAGGAGAGCATACCTCGAAAAACCCGGCATAAGCCGTCATGCCTGGCATACCTGAAAGTTTAAATTTGTAGAAATTAGACGAGTCACAAGATTTGCTGAAGCATAAGAGGAGTGTTATGCTATGGCAACATCCCAAATGATCCGATTATTGTCCATAGGTGAAGCCCGTGAGAAATGTATTGACTCCTCAAGGAAAGCTACTATTTCATTGAGAAATAATCGATTTACACACTTCTTTCAATGCGTAAAGACAGTTTGCAGGGCTCTAACTTTAGACAATGCAACAAGGGCATATGGTTCATCAACAAGGAAGATCCCTACAAGAAAAATACAAAGGAAGCACACTCTTTTCTTGCATAGCCGGAGGCTATCCAAACTTGAATGATACAGGACAGAGTATCTTAACAATCGAACTGCCCTTATTCATTAACATTGAAAGATATATTACATTTGATGAATAAAGAGCATACATTTAACATTAGATGATAAAAGAGCATACCGAAAAGGCCGGTATAGTAAGACAGAGGAACATCGGTGTGTTCAATCTTAAAGCAAGTCTCTGGTACAGTAATTAGACTATACTCCTCCCATCCAGTGATGCCCCAAACCAAGTTGCCTTTCTGGAAATTTGGATGACCAGATTCCAAAACTCTAGCTACTCCATATCCAGCAATAGGCTGCATCAATGTGTTAAATACTTCCGAATATAAGTGGAAACACATTTAGCAAACACAAATAGACATTGAACTCCCAAGAAGGATGATTGGAAATCAAAAGAATTTCATAATCAAATACGCTGCAATAACCAGAAACCCTTTCAATTTAAAAGTTTGCAGCTCCAGTCATATTGAAGTAAGCTAAGTCAAATGCAGCTCCCTAAACACTTAATATAACTTCTAACAAACCTAGAAGAAGAGCAGCATAATTTTAACATCTCAGCAGGAATAGAAGTGAAATTCACGGCAATACATTAGAATCCGAAGCAATATGCTAAAGGATGGAAACAAAACTCTGCTTATTCCAGAGCCGTGTTTATTTTATCTTTTAATGAATACATCTCATCGTCCTATTTCACGTGCAAGCTATCTGTCACCATTCATCATGCTGACACATAGATGGAAGGGTTAAGCAACTCACATCGTTTAACACCGTGATTTATGTGGCTGTGCAAACGAAAGACATGTGAAACTCTATGCCAAATAGCATAAGTGAGGTTCTTTCGACACGCTAAGCTCTTTAATCCATATTCTGAATTTTTGGGCGACATCGCAAACCATTTCTACAATTTCAAAGGCACCACCAATTGGATCGCACTTACAGAGATAAAAAAGATTTAGCCATGATAGGCAGAATGAACAGAAATAGAGCACAGAGTCGCTACAATCATATTGAACAGCACAATTTGACATAATCACCAGCAGAGACACCACAACTTTCTCCTGAAACAAAATAATCAATCCCCAGAGCAAAGTGGTCAAAATAAAAAAAAGGACAAAAAATCAACACAATATCATACTCAACAAAACCCACATCATCCGACATTCGGAGCTCATTTTGTTCAGCACCTCCCCCAGTTTCAACAACGAGGAAGACCGGCTTACGCCGAGTGGATGACCCATTTTTCTTTTTCGATAGTCTGTTTTGGAAAAGAAAAGAATTTGACACGAAAAGACTTAGGCTTGCTCACCGAACCAGGTTCGAAGGAATCGCGGTAACCGGGGATATAGAGCTTCCTCATGCGAATCCTCATGTAAGGATCGCAGGACAAGTAGAGATTTTTCACGAGAACGCCACTGGAGCCCTCCGGGACTCGCAATTCCACGGTGGATTCGCGCACCTCCATGTCCGTCTCCTCGGGGGAACCACTCACGTAGCCCCTGAATATCACTTGCTTGTTCCTCACTCCCTCGCCATCCCCACCAGCCATCGCTCTCCGCCACTCCTTTTGGACGAAACGCGTAACACCCAGAAGAGAGAAAGACGAGCAGGTGTTGTGGTGTGCGAATGGCGTACCGTTCTTATGGACTGAGCCGAGAACGCGGGTGCAGAGGCCTTGAATGGCGAGACAAAAGAGGACCCTTTTTTTTCTGCTTTGTGTCTGTCCGAGTACGTGGGAAGAGTTGACGGGTGACGATGACGATGACTATAGCGATGTGTGGAGGAAGACGACAACGTTTTGGCGTATTCCAGAGCGATCCCGTTGTTAACAACGCCGCTCTTCTTGCTGTATGGAGGCTCTGCTTTTGTCGCCGGGTCGAGCATGGCAGAGAGAATGAACACGGAGACGACCCAGAATGGTGTGAAAGTACACTTTCGCATAACGATTCATGTCCAGAGGAAATGGGAATGATTTCTTCTGTTTTATAGGCAGAAGGACATTATGGGAAGAGAGAAGGACAAAGGTCAAAGCGAAAGATTCATGCAGAAGACGAAAAACATTGGAGGCTAGCGACGTGGGGAGTAGTGGGGTGGTGATTAATAATTGGTCATAGAGACGGTCTTCAAGTGCCGGTGTAATTGGGCCGAGCCGAGTCATACATTCGGTGCTCAAACTCTACTCGAGCTCGCTTGAGTATTGATATTTATGTTTGAACTCGACTCGATTAGAGATTGAAAATACAAATACTCGAGCTCAACTCAATTACCATTAACTCATGAATAAAATCGAGATCGAGCTCAAGCTCAAATTTAAGCTCTCATACTATGTAATTTTCACAGGTCTATTTTTACAATTATTTCTTATGCTTGTCATAATCAAGGTTGTTTCCATATCATGACTCTCTCATAATGTATTGCAGCAATGCACCATGACTAGGGGTGAGCACGGTTCCAGGGTAGAACTGAGAACTGAAGAAGTGAACCGGCGGGTTCGGTTCGGTTCCCGGTTCCAAGGTGGAAGGTTCCGGTTCCCGGTTCTAATATTTTAGGAACCGCCAGTTCCGGTTCCGGTTCCCGGTTCCTATAGGAACCGGACCTGGACCCGGACCCGGAATCGGAACCGGAAGCAAGAACCCTAACTTTCTTTTTCTTCCCAAATTTCCCCACGCTCTGTCGCTCCTCCATTGCGCTCTCTCTCCCACTCCCGACACCCACGACTCGACGAGACCCTCTCGCCTCTCCTCGCATTGCTTACCACAGCGGAGAAGAGAGGAGACGCCGTCGATGGCGCCATCATCGTCTTCGTCTCTTTGCCTTCCATCGCCTTCTCTCTCGGTCCAACCCCGAAACCGCCGTTCCTTTCGCTCGCCCCCTGCTTCGCAGTTCCCCGGATGCGGACCGTCCGTTCGTCCTCACCGCCTCTCTTCTTCTTCTTCTTCTTCTTCTTCTTCTTCTTCTTCCGAGCTTTTGAGGATGGTGAGGCTCAGATTCTCTTCGCAGAGGCCATCGGCCGACGAGAGTGCGCTCGAACTCGAAGGGGGGCGGCTATTCTCGAATCTCAACCGGGAACCTGGTACGGTATCCTCCGACCTCGCGCGGCTCTCGCGTTTCTTAGTGGCTGCGTTGTCCGATGTTGCTTTTTACTAGTGTGACGGCGTTCGTGTTCTTGTTTTGCTGTTTTTAGGAAGTTTGTCCAGTGCGGTTTTTCTGGTGGCAGGCCCTACGGTAAGGATTCGATTACCAATTTGTGTGCGATTTCTGCAGTGACTGGCCTAAGTTAGCGTCACATTGCGTGCAGAGTGAATTTCGTACGTAGGTTATGTTCAATTTTGTCTGGATCACAGACTCTCTGATAATCTGATCTCTTACTGCCCGGTCCAAATTCTGGGCATGACAAATTGCTTGTTAAGTCTGGTCGTATTTGTCAAGGAATTCTAGCGGCTCATTTTTGCTGCGATGTTCGCTTTGATGATTCGAAGTTTGATACGTAGGAGCTGGGATTGTTGCCATACCTGCCGTGACACGAGAATCTGGATTTATAGCTTCCGCAGTTACCTGTGTTTTTTGTTGGATCTTCATGGTAATTATTTGTGTGATACTTTGTAAACATATTCACCTTGTGAATTTTTCTTTTTCTTCTTTTATGAACCATTGTCAATTCATCATTGACAACAAGCTAGTCAAATTATCACTCACGGCCGCAATTCTTGGGTGTTGAAACATTGCAGGTTGCAACAGGGCTGCTCATTGCTGAAGTCAATGTGAACACAATCTGTGAACTGGGTTCTGGTGGTGTATCGCTGGTAATCCGCTCTTGAGTAACCACTTGCACATCCAAAAAAGCTTTTATTTGACGCAATTTCTTGTGATTATCCCAAACCCAGCAAGAAGTTTGAAATTGGATCGATCTATGACATTTAATGTCAACATACTTTATTGCAGCATTCAGAACATTGATCTGCTTTATTTACTTTTATACAAATTACAATTAACTTTATGCAAAAAAACTTTCAGGTATCAATAGCCATGAGAACTATAGGGAAGTTTGGAGTGCAAGTCGCTTGGTAAAGAATTTCTTTGGCTACTCTTTCGGTGAGAGTGATGTCTTATTATGATTTCACTTTGAGTTATGTCTTAGCAAGTGAAGTCAATGTATTTTAGATGATCTTGGTATACAAAGTGTTTGATACTAACATAAAATCCGCCTGCCATTGTTAGTTGTCTCTGTATTAATAAAACAGTACCACAACAAAATGGTTATGGGCCAGGAAGGATTTCTTTTATTGGTCTTTGTAAACGTTTTATGTATGTGGCACTATTCATGTTTTTGTAATGAGCTCAGATAGGGGATTATCTATTGGGCCATCACACCATTCCATTATGTTGTTTTAGGAGGTTTATTTCTAATAATGCTACTATTGTTTTTAAAACGTTATCATCACTAGCTTGTAAACTCGACTGGGTACAAACCCTGAAATAAGAGGGCATCAAGTGATGATAGACCATGTGATTTTAGCATTCTTAGAAACATGTATTTAAATATATACATGACTTTATTATATTGCTTTTCTGATTTTTACATTCATTCTCGCAGTTGGCCGTACATTTTCATTTATTATGCCCTCCTCGTTGCTTATGTGGCTCGTTCTTCAGATATTTTAACAAATTCCCTCGACATTCCGCTGTATGGATCATCACTCTAGCTTTTCTCCTCCTGGTTTTCATGCTAAATTTTTTCTTGAGATGCATAGTTCCTTACTAGTATTTATGAGGCACATTTTTGAAGTGCATTTTGTACTTTCGTAGGTGTTGATGGGCAGCATTATGGTTGCAGATGGGACTGCGCTACCCTGTTCTCACTGGTAATGGGGGGAATCTGCTATTTTGGCAGGTTGGTGTAGCTTTATGATTTAATTTCTTCAAGTAACTTGTCTGTTGGCCAGACATGATAATCTGGAATGCTTAACATTGATGTTAACTATAAGAAGGTCCCTCCTGTTCAAACTGATCTTTGGATGGAAGATACCAAAAAAAAAGACTTGTTCATCATCAAGTCCACTGACAAGCATATGTTATTTCTTGTTATCTTAGCCATATGATCATGCCTGCATAGCCTGAAAAGAATGCTTGATTTACAGACAAATCTCGACTTTGTTCATTACCAGTCTCCTTTGCGATATGTGCATGCGTTTTAATTGCTTCCATGTACTCTAGTTGGCTCATTTTATCTGCCAAATGATAGACCTACCTTGACATCGCCTAAAATTATATGGTCTCACTTAAGATCCAAGTCAGTTGCACTTTATAAGTGTTTGTGTGGTTTGTCATTACTGGGTAGATTTTAGAGAGATTATGGAGAATTTTCTATATAAACATTGTAGCCACCGCTTGGATGAATGAAGTGACTCTAATCATGCATTGGAATTAAAGTCATGTGTTGCATCCCAACAATTACTATTTGTATGTTCTATCCCCTTTCTATTAAGCGAAATGTTGCTTTCCAATAACTAGTAATTGTGCGTTTATTTTCGTTTTGTTTAACTAAAAACGAAATTAAAAAAAAGAACCTGTTAGAACCTGGAACCGACCCTAGAACCTGTGACAGGGTAGGTTCCAGGTTCCACGTTTCGACGGGTAGGTTCCAGGTTCCTCATTTTGAGAAACCTGTACCCGAGGGTAGGTTCCAAGTTCCAGGCGGAACCTACCCGAAACCTGGAACCGCTCACCCCTAACCATGACCATTGATTTTCAAGTGTTTGTGTGGTACTACACTTTCTGCGGAAGTTTTCACAAAAAATCGAACCTTAGCAACGACGAGATGCAAAGAAAACCCTGGGATCAATAAGCGGGTCCCGGTGAGTCTGGGCTAAGGTTTCATGATGTTCCTGTTCTCATTGGTTCAGCCTAAACAGAGAGCTCTTCAAAATACTTACGAAACACTGGTGCCTGATTAGCCCAACGCACACGAGAGTTCATAACTTAGTGTTGGCATAATGAATTGGGTAAATTGTTCTTTTTAGGGAAAATTTCATTTTGGTATCCAAAGTTGGGCCTTTTCTCAAATTGGTACCCAAAGTATCCATTCAGTCTCAATTTGGTGCCTGAGTTCGCCGGCCGGTCAAATGCTCACCGGCCGGCACCGGAACAGTATTTTTTTTTTTACTTTTTAATTTTTTTTCTTTTTTCCTTTTTCTGTTTTTTTTCTTTTCCTTTTCCGTTTCTTTTTTTTTTTTTTCCTTCTTCCCTCCGCCGCCCATAGCCGTGGCCGGCAGATGTCGCCGGCGTCGGGCGAGGGCCGCCCTCGCTTGGGGGGGCGAGGGCCGACCCTCGCCGGATCTGGCGAGGGTTGCCCTCGCCGGATCTGGCGAGGGTTGCCCTCGCCGGCGACCTCCGCCAAGCTGCCGTCCATCGTCACCCTCCTCAAGTCCCGCAAGAACTCCGCCCACATCCACCGGTGCACGCCCGGATCATCGTCATGGGGCTCGAGCGGGACCGGTTCGTGGCTTCCCACTTGTCTGCCTCTCCTACTTCCTCTCTTCTCTCGCCCATCGCTCTCGCTTCTTGAGTGCATCCTCGACCCTCGCCAGGGTCGGCCCTCGCCCAACGCAGGCGAGGGCCGACACCGGCGACCTCCGCCGGCCACAGCTATAGCAGCGGAAGGAAGAAGGAAAAAAAAAAGAAAAGGAAAAGGAAAAGAAAAAATACAGAAAAAGGAAAAAAGAAAAAAAATAAAAAAGTAAAAAATAATCTGTTCCAGGTGAGCCGAACGATAAATTTCTTCTTAGAAATTTGGTGAGCATTTGATCGGCCGCCACAACTCAGTACCACAATTGAGACCGAATGGGCACTTTGGGTATTAATTTGAGACTATGTCCACTTTGGGTACCAAATTGAGAAAAGGCCCCCACTTTGGGTACCAAAATGAAATTTTCCCTTCTTTTTATGTCCTCGAGCCGTGATTAGAAAATATTAAATTTTCAATTGGTTGCGTCCGAACGGATCTAACTAGGCCTAGCCAAGCCAAACCGAAAAATGAGCAATTTAATTAGACATGACCATTGTGCGGTTCAGGCCTACTAGGCCCAAAGGGCTACATTCATTGTGCGGTTCAGGCCTACTAGGCCCGAAGGGCTACATTGGACCATCTGGTTCATGATCACCTCTACAACTAAGTTACGATGAGCTATCTTCGTTTCTGGTCCACGCGATCTGTCGAACATTTTTGCCCCTTTGCCTCTCTTCCCTAGATAAATTCTCTGTCACAGTTCTCTTTCTTTCCTTCTTTATTCCTCGTTTGCTGATTTAAGCAACGGCAAGTCCTCCTGAATCCAAGTCTCCGAGGCTTCCTTTGCTTAGGGCGCATGGTTTGACCCAGTCCACAAGTGGTTCAAGCCAGCCCAAGGGAGCTTGGGAAAGACTCTGCATCATCAGTGTTCATAATCAGTCTTTATTCCACGTCATGGCAAGTGCATATTATTGTATAAGTCAATCTAAACACAATCCTGTCGGTTAATTTATTCATAACAAACAATCCAAAGACGACTTGCTTATTATAGCTAACTTGACAGTTGACACCACCTCACATTAATTTGGTATGAGAAGTAGGAAGCCTTAGAATGCACGATGGACAGGTAAAATATCGAAGCAGAAGTTTGAGTGCTGAAGCAGAGGAATAGTACAAGCAGAGATTCCAGATCGGTTACTCATGTAAAGGCGAGAACGAGATGTCTATTACCAAACCCGGGAAATAAGTACACCAGATGGTCCACTCTGAGAGTATCTCCCCTCAGTTGTCCCGCTCCATGTACCTGATTTGCGTTTCTCATGTCGGTTCGGTACTCTTCTTGTGGGGGAAGTAATTGAGAATGCTTTGTGAAAATGCAGTGTCATTTGAACCTCTAATTGGCCACGAACTGTGTAGCGCCTATATTTCTCAACTGGAGTTACATAGGAAGATAGAGTGGTTGGCCTCAGGACTCAACCTCGCACACTTCTAATCACTGATACCGCCTAGCTTATCGTTTGAAGAATCTCATATTAGCTATTCCGGATACAGAATGGTATGGAAAATGCCATTACATTGATTTGAAATTCGAGAGGGTGGTGCTTGTGCTTGTGTTTCGACGTCAGCACGTGACCTCTTGGTGGAACTTACGCAGATGCTCGAAAGCAGATGTCTCCGAATTCAGATCTCTTCTTCAAGGATGCAGAATGTAACTCTGGGCATGCTAAACAGACTCAAGCTTACTGAATGTTTGGATTGCCACCACGGTTGATTTGGCGGGCTAGTTTAGCTGTATGTCCAAATTCAGGGTTCGAATATGTTTCGGTGATCACTAAAGTTCTTCCCTTAACGAGTTACAGGCGGATATCGTCAATGCACATTCATCCCTGCGGGCTAGTTTAGCTGTATGTCCAAATTCAGGGTTTGAATATGTTACGGGGATCACTAAAGTTCTTCCCTTAACGAGTTACAGGAGGACATCGTCAATGCACATTCATCCGTGCATGTGCACACGCTCGGAGAGGAAAAAACTGCTGTTTGGTACATCTGAAGCCAGTTTTATTTATAGGTAATATGGCCCGGAACAAGGAGACGCATTCACAATCGACATCCTAGAGAAGCCTTGCATACAATACCCAACAAAACAGAATATACAATTTTAAGTGACTCATTCTCGAGAAACCACAATCACCTGTTTCCCGACATTCTGACCTGAAAACAACCCTACCAGAGCTGCGGGGCCGTTTTCGAGCCCCTCAACGATGTCCTCCGTGTATATGATCTTTCCTTGTTTGACGTAAGGCAAGACCGTCTCGAGGAACTTTGGGTAGAGATGGTAGTAGCTGGACACCAGGAAGCCTTCCATCCGGACCTGTTTCAGGACGAGATTCATCAGGTTGTGTATGCCCTCAGGCTGGTCGAGGTTGTACTGCGAGGTCATCCCGCACGCGGCGATTCGGCCGTGGCTCTTCATGTTGAGCAGCACTGCGTCCAGCATCTTTCCCCCTACATTTTCGAAGTAGATATCGATCCCGTCGGGGAAATATCTAAAGATGAAACACCGAAAAGTTGACGATAAATTAGTATATCAAATACACGTTTGTGCATCATTCAGAATATATCATTTAACTCATATGCAAATAATGACCTTTTCAGTGCTGCATCAAGGTCCGCTTCTTCCTTGTAGTTGAAAGCTTCATCGAACCCCAATTTGTTCTTGAGCAAATCAACCTGTTTCGTGTAATATAATGCAGAGAAAAATTTAAACAGAATTGAATCAAGAGACCGGCTAACAAGATTGCACGGTAGGACTCATGTTATGATGTGCAAATGATTTACCTTCTCTTGGCTACCGGCACTGCCTACGACGTAACAACCGAGCAATTTCGCAAACTGCCCGACGAGCTGACCTACTCCTCCTGCAGCTGTTGATATGTAAACAGACTCTCCTTTCTTAGGAGAGCACAGCTCAAAAAAGCCGACATAAGCAGACAAACCTGGCATGCCTGCGGAATCGATAAAAGTTGGATATTACATGACAAGCAAAAGGACGGTGAAGAGAGAGTTGGAGGACCGATATGTGAAGAACAAACTCAGATAGGTTTATTGGCCTTAGTCATAAACTAGCATTGAGAACGAAACCACATGAGCTGAGCAATAACATACCGAGCAGGCCATTGTAGTAGGAGAGAGGAACGTCGGTGTGCTCGATCTTGAAGAAAGTCTCCGATGAAGCAATTAGACTGTACTCCTCCCATCCGGTGATCCCCCAAACCAGGTCGCCTTTCTTGAACTTCGGATTCGCAGAGTCCACAACTCGGGCCACTCCAAATCCAGTGATTGGCTACATTCAACGCGCCAATACAACTTCAGAATCAAATTAAGCACAAACACACAATTGCGATTATTGCTACGACACAGAACATCATTATTCGTACTTACAGAACCGGGGCGAATGGTGTCCATGAGGTGGCGGGTTTTGGGTTCGCAAGAGAGGTACAAGTTCTTCACCCACATGGCGCCCGATGAACCATCTTCCACCATCAACTTCACCGAGCCATCTCTCACTTCCATGTCCACCTCCTTCGGGAAACCTCGCACATGCTCCCTCAATATCACCTGCCTGTTCCTCACGATCACTTCACACGAAGCTGTACTGTTCTTCTCCATTCTGTCTCTCTATCTCAATCTTGTTTTCCCAAAGTTCAACTCTGCAAAACAATGTCTCTTTCTCTTGGCCTTCTTTCTAAATTTTTGGTTGCCTCTTGTTTACCTTTCGTGCGTGTATTTATAGGGATGAATGAAGCAGCCGCATGTTTACGTCAGCGCTTGAGTAATAATGGGTGAATGAGTTCATCGTTACGTGGATAACATCAGAGTACAAATCGAATGGCAGCTTAAAAAATTTGGTCAAAACTCAGATTAATTGTTTCGAAAAGTAATGAATGGCAGCTTCCACATGA